TCAGGGTCAGGTCAGGGTTCAGGGTCAGGTCAGGGGTCAGGGTTCAGAGGTCAGGACTAGTTCAGGGTCAGGTCAGGGTCAGGTCAGGGTTCAGGGTCAGGTCAGGGGTCAGGGTTCAGAGGTCAGGACTAGTTCAGGGTCAGGTCAGGGTCAGGTCAGGGTTCAGGGTCAGGACTAGTTCAGGGTAGACATCTGTCAGATGAACCTGTTGGTGTGTCTGCAGACCCAGGTGGTTCTTCGTCAGGCCTGGCTGGAGAACATCAAACCAGTTCTTGTCATCAACAAGATAGACAGACTGATCCTGGAGCTGAAGCTCACCTCTGTGGAAGCTCACAGCCACCTGCAGAAGATTCTGGAACAGGTAAAGGTTCCACCTGGTTTCTAACACCAGGATCTACCTGAGGCTTCAAACCTGTGTGTGTTCTCCTGCAGGTGAACGCAGTAACAGGAACTTTGTTCACGTCTAAAGTTCTGGAGGAGCGAGCCGAGAAGGTGGAGGAGGAGGAGGAGCAGGAGGTCTCAGGTGAAGATCAGGTTTATGATTGGAGCGCCGGACTGGAGGAGCTCGATGACTCCCATCTCTATTTTTCTCCGGACCAGGAGAATGTGGTCTTTGCCAGCGCCATCGATGGATGGGGGTTCAGGTAAATCTGCTCACCTGCTCCTGCTGGGAGAGAGCTGGGTGGTAGGGTCTTAATCCTGAGTCCAGGTGTCCAGATGTTAGTCCAGGTGTCAGAGTCCAGGTGTCAGAGTCCAGGTGCCAGAGTCCAGGTGCCAGAGTCCAGGTGCCAGAGTCCAGATGTTAGAGTCCAGGTGTCAGAGTCCAGATGTTAGAGTCCAGGTGTCAGAGTCCAGATGTTAGAGTCCAGGTGTCAGAGTCCAGATGTTAGAGTCCAGGTGCCAGAGTCCAGATGTTAGTCCAGGTGTTAGAGTCCAGATGTCACAGTCCAGATGTTAGAGCCCAGATGTTAGTTTAGATGGTAGTCCAGGTGTCAGAGTCCAGATGGTAGTCCAGATGTCAGAGTCCAGGTGTCAGAATCCAGATGTTAGTCCAGGTGTCAGAATCCAGATGTTAGTCCAGGTGTCAGAGTCCAGATGTTAGTCCAGGTGTCAGAGTCCAGATGTCAGAGTCCAGATGTTAGTCCAAGTGTCAGAGTCCAGATGTTAGTCCAGGTGTCAGAGTCCAGGTGTCAGAGTCCAGATGTCAGGGTCCAGATGTCAGAGTCCAGATGTCAGAATCCAGATGTTAGTCCAGATGTCAGAATCCAGATGTCAGAATCCAGATGTTAGTCCAGATGTTAGTCCAGGTGTCAGAATCCAGATGTCAGAGTCCAGATGTTAATCCAGATGTCAGAGTCCAGATGTTAGTCCAGATGTCAGAATCCAGATGTTAGTCCAGGTGTCAGAGTCCAGGTGTCAGAGTCCAGGTGTCAGAGTCCAGGTGTCAGAGTCCAGGTGTCAGAGTCCAGGTGTTAGTCCAGATGTCAGAGTCCAGATGTCAGAGTCCAGATGTCAGAGTCCAGATGTCAGAGTCCAGGTGTCAGAGTCCAGATGTTAGTCCAGATGTCAGAGTCCAGGTGTCAGAGTCCAGTTGTCAGAGTCCAGATGTCAGAGTCCAGATGTCAGAGTCCAGGTGTCAGAGTCCAGATGTTAGTCCAGGTGTTAGTCCAGATGTCAGAGTCCAGATGTTAGTCCAGATGTCGGAGTCCAGATGTCAGAGTCCAGATGTTAGTCCAGATGTTAGTCCAGGTGTCAGAGTCCAGATGTCAGAATCCAGATGTTAGTCCAGATGTCAGAGTCCAGATGTTAGTCCAGATGTCGGAGTCCAGATGTCAGAGTCCAGATGTTAGTCCAGATGTTAGTCCAGGTGTCAGAGTCCAGATGTCAGAATCCAGATGTTAGTCCAGATGTCAGAGTCCAGATGTTAGTCCAGGTGTTGTGTAACTGTGTAATTGAAAAGCTGACAGTAGTTTTCAGAACCTGGTTCTGCTGTGGTCAGATGGGTTTTAGTTTCTGTGGAACGGTCATGTTCTTGTCTTTGTTCCTGTTCTTCAGCATCCAGCAGTTTGCAGAACTCTACAGACGCAAGTTGGGGATAAAGAAGGAAGTTCTGATGAAAACTTTGTGGGGAGATTTTTATCTGAACCCGAAAGCAAAGAAGATTCTGAAAGGAGCTCAGGTACTTTAAGCACCTGCAGGTTCTTCTCACCTGTTTCCTCAATGGTTTAGTGAAGAGGCTGGAACCCCTAATTTACACTACATGTGTTCCTGGTCCGGTCCGGTCCGGTCCAACCTCCGCAGCAAATACACACCCATTATAATCAATGAGAGTGTTTACACTGGCTGTGCACAGCAGTGGACAGAAATCTGGCAAAATTAGATCCGATTCTATTTCTGCCGGACGCCGGAGTCAATTTTTGAAGATTACATCGCACCAACAGGAAGAGGAACGAGCACAACATCCGTATTTTCAAAATAAGACACCAAAATTTTGTCTTAATTGCAGCTATATTGATAAATATATGGACATATTTCTACACAAATGCTGTCAGAATGTATGGTTCTGTTTGGGAAGCAGATGGAAACATGTAGATGAAGATATGTGTACACACCATACACGTGGATTTTATTTTGAAATCAGAAGTTTCAAAAAGACGACAGTGAGACAGTTTCAACCGTATAAAAAAAGCTTTTATATCGTTGTTTTCAGCTGTTTGGAGTTCGTCTTTCACAGAATTAATTATTTTTTGTTGTAACTTCCACATTTATCACTGGATTTATCACGTGATCTCCTTCCTGCACACCCTCCCTCCTCTGTGTGTCGGACCGGACGGGACCGGACCAGACCGGACCGGAGGCTGTATAAATTGGGTAGCAAACAAACAGCTGCAAACTGCGCACCGCAGCGCAGCGGAGCAGAGACACATGTAGTGTAAATCCAGGGTAAATGTTCTGGACTGATCAGAACCTCCTTCACAGGCAGCTGGGTCTCAGTCTGTGACCCACTGAAGAACCAGGAGTCCTGGATCAGGATCTGGTTTGTGATGTTGTGGTTTCCTGCTTGTGTTCCTGCAGGCCAAAGGAAAGAAAGCTCTGTTTGTGCAGCTGGTCCTGGATAATATCTGGAGTTTATACGATGCAGTCATCACCAGGAGGTCTGCTTCAATCTAACACAACCTGGACTTTTTGTTCTTGAGATTAGTACTGCATGGTGTCCTCATGCTCCTTCATCTTCTTTGTTTTTCTCCTCAGAGACAAGGAGAAGGTGGAGAAGGTGATAACATCACTGGGGGTAAAGGTCATGGCCAGAGACCTGCGGCACTCGGATCCCAAGGTGCTCCTGTCTGCTATCTGTCACCAGTGGTTACCTTTGTCCCAGGCTGTCCTTGGTATCCTTTGAGTTTCACTAATCCTGATCGGACCCTCAGGGACCCACTTCTTCAGTTCTTTCATGGGTTTGGTTTTCTTTGACCCGGGTTGCAGCCATGGTCTGTAGGAAGCTTCCAAGTCCTTTAGACATGACCTCAGAGAGGGTGGAAAAACTGATGAGTGTCGGAGCCAGAAGGTTCGATTCACTACCTGAGCAGACCCGAGACCTGAAACAAGGTACAGACCTTAGACCTGAGACCAGGTACAGACCTTAGACCTGAGACCAGGTACAGACCTTAGACCT